TTTTTTTTGGAAATTTAAAATTTTGAAAAATAATGAAATTAATTTATAAATGGTTCAAAAAGGAAAAATATATATATTATTGATTTGATAAATGCTAAAAATTTTAAACATTTGCTAATATTTTGTTATAATATAAGCTTTTTATAATGCCTTTTAATCTTTTCTTTTTTCCTCTTTCTTCTTTTTTTTTTTTCAAAGAGAAATCCTAAAATGATCAAAAAAATACAAATAATATGCCATTAATGCATCTATGATGATATAATGATAATTTGTAATGTAAAAATCATCAAAGAATTGATTCATTCAATTCATATGATGACAATAAAGATGACAACATAACAACAAATGACATATGAATAATAGCGCTTATTCATTAATATAACAACTGTCCATCTGTTATAACTTAAAAATATAGATTTTAAGAAATTTTTTTCAAAAAAAAAATGAAAAAAAATAAAAGAAGATAGATAATATATAAGTAAAAGGAAATCAATGTTTGAAAAAATGATTAAAATATAAATGATAATTGGTGATAATAATGTAATGGAATGGATGAGGTACTGGTGATAATAATTTGATAAAATGGATAACGTTTGGTGAAAATAATGTGATAGAATGGATAAGGTATTGGTAATAATAATTTGATAAAATAGATAAGGTATTGGTGATAATAATGTGATAAAATGGATGAGGTATTGGTGACAATAATTTGTTCAAATGGATGAGGTGTTGGTAATAATAATTTGATAAAATGAATGAGGTAACTATTGGTGATAATAATATGATAAAATGGATGAAGCATTGGTAATGATAATTTGATAAAATGGATGAAGGATTGGTAATGATAACTTGATCAAATGGATGCGATATTGGTGATCGTATTGAATGGGAGAGGAAAAATGTTTACTATTAATGAGACAAAATGTTATATGTAATCTTGATATTGTATCAATATGTAATTTGTGGCTTTTATTATTCAAAAATTTTTCAAACATAACATCTGTCAATACTTTTTTCCACTTTTTCCGCTTACCGCACTTCTCTTCTATCGCTCCATCCACAAATCAAATTTTTTAATAAATTTTGTTTTCTTTTTTTTGGCAAATGTCAACAAAAATACACGAAAATGACATTGTGTCAGTTAATTCGTTGGACAAATTTTACCAAATTATGATGAATTAGGAAAAGTGAAAAAAAGGATGAAATATTTCAAATATGTAAATTATTAATAAAATAAATAAGTAAAAATTAAATCAACCAGGCAAACAAATAATAATTAAAAATGAAAAAAATTAAAAATATAATTAATTAATATTTAATGAATCTTAGAATGATTGTTTATTTTCGTTTTAACTTAAATAATTTTAGTTATACTATCAAATGAAGAAATTAAATAAGCGTATGATATAATGATAATTATAATTTAAAAGGTAAAATTTGTTGAAATTACTATGAAAAGAGTATCATTCTAATTTGATGACTCATTAGTTAAACCTTAAAAATGCTTCATCAGAACCCCCTTCTTGTATCTTTACTGTGTCACCTCAACTACCTTCAAGTATCGGATAGTAACGGCGATAATAATTAAGCTTGAGTAAATAGAAATATCAACCACTAATACTATCATCAATTGATGATGAATATAAAAGAAGTGTAAAGTTCAAAATGTATATACTCTTTTCACTTTCCTTTTCTTATTTTTAATTTTATTTATGAATTAATAAGCAAAAATTAATTAGTAAATGAATAAATGATAATAATAAATTCAAAAAAGGAAAAAAGGAAGAAATGGCAAAAATTATGAGAAATATTCAAATTTCATTTCAATATTAATTTTCTTTTCTTTAAATCATTATTTAAATATTCAAATTTATTTTAATTTTTTAAATTTTTCTTCTGAAAAATTTAAAAATTATTATACTATCCTAAATGAAATGATTCTTCCTTTTTTTTTTTTTGCTTTTTAAAAATGAAAATTATAAAATTCGTAATATAACATGAAAAGTTACGAAAAAATAAAATAATTTTAGAAAAGAAGGAATTTGAAGAAATATACAATACAATGAAAAAAAAAAAAAAGTTTATTATGAAACGAAAAAAAAAAGAGAAGAACTGGAGGACAAATCATCAATCATTTGACGAAAACTAAAAGCAATGCCGACAATTTTCCTATTTTTGTCTTCCCTTACTTTTTCCTGATTTGTTGTTTTACGCATATAATAGATAGATCGGAAATGTCATAAGATGAAAAAAAAAATTCCATGAAATTTTTGAAATGATAAAATAAGGAAGAATGAAAGAGCGGGAGAACGGGAAAGAACGGGAAAGACGGGGGCGGGGAATCGAGAAGGTAATTGTAAAATAAAAGTAGAACATCATAAATACAAAAACATCAATTATTTCATCATGTGAAATAGATTTAAAATAAGTTTAAGTTAATCTCTTTCGTTTTTCTTTTTTTTTTTCCTTTTCGAGGAAAAAAAAAAGAAGGAAAAAGGAAAACTTCCAACATTTTAAAATTTTACATTAATATGAAAATATATGCGGAAAATAAATTAAATTAATAAAATTAAACGAAAAATAAATTAAACTAATTGAAAATAAATTAGATTAATTGAAATACGATTTTTTTTTTAAAAAGGAAAGCATTTTTTTTTTTTTTGATACAAAAAATAAGCTAAAGTAAATATTAACAAAATTATATTTATATTATCATATCCTTTCAATAGACAAGATAATTTTAAAGTGTCATATAAACTGTACAAATTTATATTGGTAAAAATTTAAAAAAAAATGATAGCCAAAAATATTTTGTTAATGTCAATTAATCAGACAACAACAACAACAACAATTAGAACAATAACAATAACAATTGCACCAACAACAACAACAACAATACAATTAGAACAATTACAACGATGACAACAATTGTAACAATTACAGCGACAACAACAATAATTATAGCGACAAAAAACAATAACGACAACAACAAATGAATAGTTATAAAATTCAAAAAAAAAAAAAATTGAAAAATTAAGGAAATGAAAATTATGATTTTTTCGCCTTTTGTCAAAACTTGTCCATTATTTTCTAAAATATGACAAAAAAAGAAAAAAAAGAAAAAACACAATAATAGTGACAAATCCAATCAATTTTTATGAAATTTTTGTTTAAATTTGAACAATACCTTTTAAAATGATTTTATTTTGAAGCAAGAATTTTAAAAGTCAATAAGTAAGATATGGAAGAATGCGCCAGCTAAAAAGACATCCTCCTCCTTCTCCTCCTCCTTTTCCTCCTTTTCCTCCTCCTCCTCCTCCTCCTCGTCCTCCATTTCCCACTATAATTGACATTTCAATTTGTTTATAGCATTTGTTTGCAAATTGGTAGCATATCCGAATGCATTATGCATTATACTGCAAGGTTTCCTTTAACAAATTCTTTTAGCCGTTCAATCAATGGTAAATGTAAACAAACAAAATTAGAAAAATGAAATGGTAAAATAAAAAATGAATAATAATATTTACTATTATTCAATTTTCATAT